TTCAAATTGGGTGGTGTCAAAACCAGAGAATGTCCTTGGGACTCAAATACCTCATCTGAATCATGAAAAAAAAATAATGCCAGGATTGTTATGGGAAGTAAATGGCATAAATTTTAAAACATTTTAAAATTAAAAATGCAATATAAATATTGGTTAAAATGTTACTGTTATCACTTTAAAAACACAGTATTCTTTTGATGAAAAAAGGAGCAAACAAACAATCCTATTTCCTACCTTTTAAGGTGGAACATACATCACGCTAGAGTTCATTGGGTGACTATACTCAGTAATTAAAAAGAACTAGGATTTAAACCTAATTCCCTGCACCATCAAACTGACAATTATTTAGAAGCAGTCTTTTCAAAGGGATAAAATGTGGACCAAGCTTGAGGAATATAATGTCTTGTATTTGTAGCCCATTATATTATTTCAACACCCAACACACACCCACACTCCCACACTCCACATACACAGGCAATATTTGACCTTATTTGCTTCTCACAACCTATATAAGGAATCAGATTGATTGCTTTATTGTCTATTTGTCAAATGAAGCAACAGGGGAAGTTTAATGCTCTGTCCAAGGTCCCTGGAACAACTCAGGAGAAGTAGAATTAAGTCAGGTATCACACATAGGGGAATCCTTTATATAGTGTCACACTCCTCAGTCATGCTTGCAACAGACATGCAAGCTTTAGACGGATTTCAGAGATTCATCGGTAGAAGTACAGTGTATTTGAAGATGCCTGGATTTAGGGAGGTAAGTGAGAAGATGCTAAGAAAAGTGTAATATGTGGGAGGTGTTGGAGAGACAGCTTTGTGGGGAGGGAGATAAAAGGTTCTGCTCTCAAAAACTCACATCCCTCTGAGTGGAGTCGCCTTCCCCACTCTCTGGCTGGGTGACCCCAGAGCAAGCCATTTTAACTCTCCGAGCCTCCTTTCCTCCATCTGTCAAATGGGGCTGGTGTTGCCGGCAAGAGAAGAGGAGGTCGAGGTGGTGGGGGTGAGCACTGCTTGCATGTGAGATGTCTGGTTGTTCCTGTGATTCCCTCTCCTCCTCCAGCCCCTCCCTGACCCTCCCCTTCATCTCCCCCTAAGGAAGGGGTGGGGAAAGTGAATAAAAAGGTCATTTATTGTCTTTATCTGAAAGACTTGTCTTTGGTGGCTAATCCAGAGTCAGATAGAGGGAGGACTTCTGTTTAGGAGACTTAACTTTTACCCATTCAGGCCAAAGTTCAGAAATTCTGCGGACCAAGGATTGTGAAAGTTTCTTGGGCAGGTTTGGGGCATGTATCCCAGAGGACTTTGGGTTGGCTTCACCTTTGCCCAGCCTGTGCGCCTTGCCTCCACTGCCCTCACCCACCATTCCTGCATGGCCTTCTCCAGCAGGCCATCCTTTCCCGGCTTGCCCTGCTTTCTGACTCTTCTGGTTTTCTTAGCCTGTGTTATACAACACCAGGCACTTTTTGTGTGTGAGTCCTGTGGCCCAGTAGGATTCTGGAACTAGAGTTGTGCCTTTGATCTCTTTGTTCCCCCATGGCACCTGCCACCATGCTGAGTTCCTTTGCTCAGTCCTTGGCATGTGAATTTCAGACAGGGGAAGCTCCCAGGCTGGCCCCTGAGACAGCTGGGCAGTGAGTCTGGGTAGATAGGAATGCAGAAAGCTACAGCTGTGGGGCCATGACTTTGGCTCCAAAGGCCAAACAGTAAGCCCACACTAAATACGGGTTATCTGAAGTCACTTGGGACATCAATCATAGATGCCCCAAATGTCAGAGTTGGCAGCGACTTTATAAATCATGTGGTCCAATCTCTTATCATTGAAAAATATTTAATAGTAGAATTGTTAGAAAATACTGGCAAGCATAAAGAAAAATTGAAAATATGTAATCTTACCCAAAGGTAACCACTATTCATTTTTATACATATTTCCAGACTTTTTTTTAATATCGGTTGCACAAAAATGGAGTCTTTCATCATATATTCATTGTAACTTGGAATCATATTGTTGTAATTTGCTTTTTTTCTTCTCCAAATATGCTGTGATTGTCTTTCCACATCAATAAATATTCTACTTCATGTCTTAATATCTGAATGGTTATATAGTATTTTATTGAGGGTTGAACCACAATGTACTTGATCAGCCCTTTGTTGTTAGTCATTTAATTTGTTTATAATTTTTGTTGTTTTTGTAAGCCACGCTGAAATGAATGTCTCCTCATATGTCTTCTTTCCTTCATTTAAATTCCTAGAAGTGAAATTACTCTGTCAAAGGAAATATGCAGGCGTTTGGTAAACATATTTCTGGATTGCCTTCTAGAAGGACTGTGCTAATTTACACACTTACCAGCATTGTGTGGGAATGCCTGGTTCCCCATAGCCAAATAACTCTTGGTATTTTAATTGTTTCTCATTTTTACCAGTTTGTTCATCAATAAATTCTTTTACCCTTAAAAAAAAAAAAACTCACATCCCTTTACTCACTATATAATACCTACTGGGCTGTGTGCTGCACTTTCTTTAACAGATTAGCCATTCTAAGTCTTGTGGGTGGTGGCCTCAAGCCCAAGGCCATCAGTCAATTTTAGGCCTGGGGATATTTTCCCATCTCTCAACTAGTGCTTGTTTCCCAAAGGCAGGAAGAGAATAGAATTTATTATTGAAAAGATAATAAAGTATACTCTTCACAGAGATGTGACTGTGTAGATGTAGAATACTGTCCAGGAATCACAAAAATACTGTGAACCAATGATGAGAAACCTTAGGAATCAAAATAAAATGCTAAGCTAGAAAAAATTCACAACATAATTCTAGAAAAAAATCACAACATAATTTTAAAAAATTTAAAAAAAAATAGACAACAGACATGAATTTTTCATTATTTTTGAAGGCAACAGAATAGATTTTTGGCAAATGAATTCTATTGTTATAATTTCAATGTCTTTCAAATACATGAATGGATAAAAATAATAATTTATTTTGTGGGAGAATGATCAAGTTACATGAAATTGCTCTATGAAGAGTTGAATTCTAAACATACAAGACACTCTGGAATATTCCACCAAATCAGTATGTGGTGAGATGAACCTTCTTTGAACCTTACTAGTCATCAAGCAGTCTCTTCAGTATGGGCTAGATTGTTGCTCTCTAGATCTGCTGTAAAGCTATTAACCTAGACCTTCCTTTGTCATCAACTTGGAGTTTGTCTTCACCTTTCTGGTATTGGTTCCTGGGTCTTTTTTTTTTTTTTTTTTCTTAGTTACTCTCCTACTTCTATCCAACAGCTTCTTGAGAAAAGAACTCATGGGAGGTAATGCTTAATTCTTTCATGTATGACAATACTTTTATTCTATTATTCTATTATTACTGCTATCAGTTATGCTAAGCAAAGTATGTTAAAGTGTTATATGACACCAAAATCTTGTCTTGATGTGGGTCATTCTGGTCTGATAATTTTCTATCTTCCATCTCTTTGTCTTTAACTGGTAGTTTTTTAAGCTACCCCAAAACTTACTGAATACTGTGGAATTTTTCACATTTGTCATCATATTTTTACTTCGTACAGCTCTTGTTTATTCTCTTATTAATGTTCTTTAATAGCAGCCTAGCAAACTGTTCTTGATTCATGGATACATTTTTTCTTATCTCTCTGAGGATATTAATAATTTCTTTTAAGTTTGTTATAAATTCATTGCCTGAATTTTTTCAAGGTATATTATTCTGCTTGTTTGGTGTCTGACTTCAATATTAGAGACCTTCCTCAGGATCTCATAGCCCTTTGCTGACTACTAACACTGAAGAAGGGAAATTGAAAAGTTGACTAGAAACCTGGAGTGCTCCATGAGTTTTGTCAACCATGGGTCTTTTGAGAGGTGAATGAAATAAAAAGCTGAAAAAACACCACTGTACCTATCTGTAGGTCTTTCTCTTGTTTTTTTTTTTTTTTTAATTTCCCAAGGTATAGTAATAATAAACACTTATCATATGCTTATTATGTACCAGGCAGAGCTCTAAGTACTTGTAAGATATTATTTTGTTTAATCCCCACAACTCTATGAGAAATGTACTATTTTTTTGTTTGTTTGTTTTTGTTTTTTTTTTTAGATTTATTTATTTATTTATTCATGAGAGGGAGAGGGAGAGAGAGAGAGAGGCAGAGGCAGAGGGAGAAGCAGGCTCCCTGCTGAGCAGGGAGCCCGATGCGGGACTCAATCCCAGGGCCCCCGGATCACGACCCGAGCCGAAGCAGACGCTTAACCATCTGAGCCACCCAGGCGCCCGAGAAATGTACTATTTTTATCTTAGTGTTACAGATGAAGGCACTGAGACAAAAAGAAGTTAAGTAACTTGTCCAAGGTCACACAGCTAACTAGTAGTACACAAATACGCAGCCCAGTTCATGTTCACTACATTATATTGCCTCTTGAGTTCCCACTGGAAAGATATAAGCTCTGTGTTATGTGGGTGAAAAGAGCTGTGATATCAACATTCTGTATGTACACAGTTACTGAATCTGTTTTTCATGAAGTATCCCTGCTTAACACTGATGCCTCCTCTTATACTCACTCACTCACTCACCAATGCTTGCCTTGGGAAATATAGTTACAAGATATCACACCTGGGATTTGGGAGGGAGAATTATTATTTGCTAAGTATTCACCTATATATAGGCAATAGGATAAGCAATTTAATCATCCTCACTAATTTCATTCATTCATTCATTCAATATTTATATGTCAGGTATTACGTATAGATTCCAATAAACAGTAATTTTAACCATGGGAGGTATTACCAAAGGAGGCACTTGCCGATGTCTGGAGACATTTTGGTTGTCATAACTGTGGAGGTGGGGGGTTGCTACAGGTATCCATCTAGTGGATATAGGCTAGAGATACTGCCAAATATTCCACAATGCCCAGAACAGTTCCCACAACAAAGCCCAAATGTCAATAGCACCAAGGATGAAATACTCTGAAATAAAGTCTTATGAAAATGCTTACCAATTGAAGTTATAAAGACCTATCTTCTTGTACCAGCACTGATTCAGCTCCTCTGATTCTTGTGTCTTGGTTCTTGAGCTCCAGCTGCATTCCTGTTAGTCTGCTACATGATCTTTTGGGTCAAAGAGGGAAACATTTTCCTGTTTACTTCACTTTTCATTATCAGCTTTCATCAGAATAGAGTAGAAGACTGCTCTCCTATAGTTAAAGTTTTGCCACAGCAGCAGCAATGAAGATCCATAAGGACAACCAAAGATAGTCTACCCCTAGCCTTGAGAACACAGTGGAGTGACTATGGTCACACTTCTCTTCACAGACACAGGAGGAAGCAGATTTTTTTCACCAAAGAAAGCTGACTCTCCATGGGAATGTGAATGCCCATGTTACCACTGTGAATTAAAAAATTGGTCTCATTGTGTCAAAACTGTAAAACAGATCCAATAACTGAAGGTTTCTAAGGTTGTTATACCTTTTGAAGAGTATCTCATAGGAAAAAGTTTATTTAGGAAAAAAATACAGTTTTTTTGAATCATAAAAGATTTATTGTGTGGGGGATTTGTTATACTAGAGGCTGAAGATACTGTAACAGAATTCATCTGCCAAAGAATTGTACCACTACTTTCAAAAATAATAAAAAATTCATAGCTCAATTTTTTTCTTCAACAGAGTTGGTATCATTTCCAAGTAGAGTGAGAAGTCATATGTTGTATATTACCTTCAGTTTTAATGTGGGGGGAAAAAAGGTTTTATTTTTCTGTGAAATCAGATGATAGTTTTACTTTTTCCTAAGTGTCTCTTCACCACTTTGTCCTGACCACCCTTCCCCTTATATTTCACCTGCAACCTTCAGGGCTTCTAAGTCTTTCCTATTACGATTTTTGGGCTATGGGTCTTCATCACAAGCTTGTGTGTGTGTGTGTATGTACATGTGTGTGTTGGTGGGGGGGATGTTTTCTTTCCAGAATTTTTAAAGAACCAGGAGCTAAGTGTTGCAAATTCACAGCTTTGTCCATGTTGTTCTATTTCTCTTGGGTTTTAAAATACAGGCTCATTAGATTGACCAATTTGCCCAATACTACCAGCAATTTTCAAAATAGTATGGACACTTTTTTTTTTATGAGACCTCAATTAAGGTAAATACTTCTATAATTATGTCATTCACATTTTGGCCCATTTTCTAATATAACTATAAAAATGAACATGAAATTACCTTCTACTATCTTGTCTAAATCTTTATCTTTTTCACTGAATACACTACTAATATTGTGAGTGCTTTTGCCCATTAAAATATGATAAGAAGTAGCCAATTTTCTCCCCCACAGAACAGATATTTAAAATAACACAATGGATACTTAAGCAGAACCCATTATGTTCTCCAAGTTGAACTAGAGAGTTGCCAGACCCAGCAGGAAACAAGAAAGCAGATTGGTGAGCATTTATGTTTCAGTTCAAATATACTTAAATACTTAATCATTTCAAAATTTCAGCTAATTCTTTGAAAAGGAAAAGAATTTCCTGGGGCCTTTTATAACTGAAGTAATACAGCCTTTCTTAAGACCTTTTGGTACTTAAGTGATCATGAACATTTTCCTCAAATATTTTATAAATTTCAATAAGATTCAGTTAAAACTTTCCATAAAATTAATAGAAGTGATCCCAAGAGGTCTTTTTATATAATTAGAATGGTTTATAATCATACATGAATGGCAAGATATCTTGTTTTACCATTTTTGAATTATATAACCTTCAGAATCTTTATTCTTTCCCATCACCACTGAGGTGACTGGCATGCCAATCACCTTAAAACTTGTGGGTTTTGTAAGTTGACAAAAGAACCAATGACACTGCATTTGGTTTGAGTAGTTTTGTACAATTCATGTCTATTTCTTCTCTAAGGTTTATAATGTTAAGCTAAACCTTTGTGATTGCTTCATTTAAGAGGGATTCTGGAATAAGTACTTTGTCAACTCTAAGACAAACAACCCCACAACTGAGTAAAAATTCTGAAAGAAACTCATAAGATCTTGAGATGAATTTCATCTTTCTCTGAGAAAAGTGGTTGACTGAACACAAAATTAAGAACAACAACAACAACAAAAAGTTTCCAAGGGGGGAGGAGGTAACCTGGCAATAAAAGCCTTGAGATCCTGCCCAGATCCTCACAAGAAATAACATGGAAGAAACACTGAATGTGCTTCTTGATAGCAATAATCTTATGCTTAGGAGCATAGATTCTGAACCAGCCTGCCCAGGGTAAATTCCCATCCCTACTACTTAACTGATTGTGTGACCTAAGGCAAGTTACTTAACCTCTCTTGGCTCAGTTTCTTCATTTGAAACATGAAGATAATAATAATATTTACTTCGGAAGTTCTTGTGAGGATTAAATGTGGTAATATATGTACAGTGGATAGAACCATGCCTGGCACACAGCACAAGTCCTGTGAATGTTTGTTCTTATTATTATATCACCTTGAGGGGACTAAGTATGAGGTGAAAACATAAAATGACAAAGGGTCTGGCTGATGCAATATGCACTGGATGGGCCTGGAAGTTTCAACTCCCCGAGGGTTTTCAAAGTATGGGTGACGGGCAAAAAAATGAAACAAGAGGATAAGACCAGGAATGAAGCAATAGAGCAGAGTCCACTTGCTGAATCCCAGCACTGAGGCTGCTTGCCCCAAGGACAGCAACCACCTTCAATGAGCCAATACTTCCCCTCCCTCTACCTCAAAGCTACCTAAATCTAAACTGTCTTATTAATTTTCTCTAAACATGTGAGGCCTTAGTAATTTGATTTACCTTTTATTTTTAAGTGCCAGGCTTTGGGGAGGTTTTGTTGTTATTTGTTTTCTCTAGACAGCAAGGTATAAACAATGCCAGGTGAAAATAATCAGACCAAATTCTCCATAATTCCAGATTTGCCCTCAATAGCTCTGTGCCTTTGGGGAAAATACTTATCTTGCCTGAATATCTCTAATACCTATTTCATAATTTGTGTGAGATTAAATGATTTACTCTACATAAAATGCCTAATATAGGGTCTTGTTGAACAGTGCCTGACAAATAGGAGGTACTCAATAAATATTAGATAATCTTCTCCTTCAGAACAAAGACCAGGCAGGGTTTTTGTAGCCCACTATGAAAGAGTGGAGTTCCATAAGGTCAGGATTCTTCAGCTGTGATACAAGGCTACCTCTGTGAGCAGCATCTACCTGAACTATTCTACTTCACTCCATGGGGATCTAGGGGTCGAAAGGCACCTGAAGCTCATGCTAATTGCTGTGTGGTAAGTAATAAAGTCCTTTCTCTCTGGCCCATGAGTCTCATGTCTTTTGCCAGCATTCCCAAAATAGTGAAAATTTAGCTTGTTAGATCTCAGTTATGGTAAAACCTCAACTATTTGCAGCTCTTGATGACAGTTTGCCCTTTTTCTCAAAAACTTTCTCCCTGGAGCCCAACAGAAGTAGGCTAGATACAGCACTCAATGAGTGAGGTAGGAGTTGTATAAAGGAGTGAGAAGAAATCTACCTCATAGTCCTTGTCCATTTTGAGCTTTAGAACCTGGGTCAGGGAAGGAGAAGCTTTGAATTGGGTGACAGATTGAGGTCTTGACTTCAGACCGGAATTAATTTCTTAATTTCTGAAAAAGAAACTTCTTTTATACTTGAAATTGTCTGGGGAAGTCATGGGATCTACCTAAGATATTCTAAGGGCAAGAAAGGGGGCTTTAACAGGTTATGGTTGAAATTTATGGCAGAAGACAAGGGATTAGGTTCATGCTTAACTTCTATCAAATCCAGTTTTTTCTAGACACTGATAACATGCTTATGAGTATAAATATATGTACAAATAGCTAATATTTATTAAATGACTAATGCAGATTCACACATACACACACACACACACACACCCCAAGCACTGTTCTAAGAGTTTTGCACATATTGATTTATCTAATCCTCACAACAACCACATAAACTAGGTATGGGTGAGGCAGAGAACAGTTAAAATACACAACTGTGGTCATGCAGCTAGAAGATAGTGGAGCCAGTGTCTGAATGATTTTATTTAAAAATATTTTATTCTACCAATATGGCTTTATAATAAAGATATTTCCCTTCAATTAATTATACCTGTCATCAGTAACATTTTTTTATACTTAAAAATAATCTTACAACTTCTTCTTGAATTTAGTTAACTTTTGAGCCTATTCTTGTTCCCTCCAACCTCCAAGGTTTTAAAGAAGCATTGATCTGGGCAGGCTTATCAATAGAATGCTCACTACATTACTATTATATATCATAGTGACTGAAATAATCATTATAAAATTATCAATAAATTGTGAATGAATGAATGTTTCAGTTACCTACTGCCACCTAGCACACCACTATAAAACTTAGTGGCTTAAAACTGCACATTATTATTACCTTCTGCAGTATTTTGGGTTGACTGGGCTAAGCTGGATAGATCTTACCTGATGTCTTTCACGCAGGTGCCATCTCTAATGACTAAGCTGACATCATCTGAAGGCTCCACTAGGCTGGACTTCCAAAACAGCTTCCCACATGGTTGACAGTTAATGCTGGCTGACAGTTGAGAGCTCGTCTGCAGCTGTTAACTAGAATGGCCTTTCCATATAGCTTGGGTTTAACACAGACTGGTGGCTGGATATCGAGACAGAACAGCCCAAGGGCAAATATCCCAAATGGCAGGAAGCAGAAGCTTCCTGGACAGTTATAAGGTGGCATTGTATCACTTCCTCCAAAGCTGAACTATGATTTTCACGAGCCCTAGGCACTTTTGCTTTCATGGGCCTCTTCTTCCATAAAATAAATAAACAAACAAATTAAAATATCTGTATTTTATGTGATGGTGTTAGTAGAAAGATGAATATATAAACCTATGTTCAAACATTTTCTTAAACTTAATATTCAACTTTTTGTTCTGATTTTAAGAGAAATTAAAATATTTTCATGGGCTCCTAAAAGTGTCATGGCCCCAGACATTGTGCCAGTTGTGTCTGATGGACAAGTTGACCCTGACTTCTGCCACTGTCTGTCTATTGGTCAAAGCAATCACAGGGCTCACCAGATACAATGTGGTAGAGAGACAAACTCCACTTTTTAATGGGAGGAGACTAGGTAACAGTGCAGAAGAGTATGTGGATGAGACATGACATTACAACCAACTTTAGAAAATAAAATCTGTCAAAATGAACAAGCTTCTGAAAAACATAAGCCCTTTTTGCTTTCTTTCTTGAAAGCATGCATGTAATAACATTAAGCTCTATTACTCCAGTAGTCACTGGGAAGGCTTAAAGTAATATTGTTAGTATTTAGGGTTTTCAAGGAAATGTAAAACAGCCACACCGTTTTCAAAATTCTGACATACAAATATAAAGATATATTGTAGGGTAAGGAAATTGTTATTGAAGCAATCATAACTTTACAGAAATTTTCAAGAAATTTAAATGGGCTCATGAAGAAATATTCACCTCTATGGGCAAGTCAAAAACACAATACTAAGGAAATTGATGTTACACTAAATTGTTTCAATTTCAATGCAAGGTGGAACCTAATGGAGTAAACATGTATTCTTACCATGATATTGAATGAATAAATGAGTTATGAGTGAGTATCCATGTTGGTTTAATGGACCTAGTTGTTTTCTTCCTCAAAGATTGATATACTTTGGTGCAGAAGACAACTCCTGTCATGTTCTGAGAAATTTCACACACACACATACACACACACACACACACACACCCCTATTATACCAGTTGGAGTTTCAGTAACATTTTCTAAATAATAGAAATATCAGACATAGGTGACAAAGTGCAAATTCAGTGTATTAAAGATTAGCTAGGATATTTTTCTCTTTCTTCCATAGAAATACAATGCCATTTTCTCTTTCTTCCATAGAAATACAATGCCTGGTTAATATACTAGACTGCAGTCTTAGAAATTCACTTACTCAGGGCTATTTCAAAGTACCAATTATAGCAGCACAGAGCTAGCTTGAAAGGCTAGAATGAACAGACTGCCTGGTCTGTGGAAGATTGATTTTACATGTATAAGACAATAACTGTTTGAGTCAAAGGAGAGCAAAACAATTTCATACAAAATAGTTAATTCAAAAACAAAACACATAATAAGAATAGACCAGACTACCGTACAATTTTTAAAACATTATGAAACATAAGCTGATGCTTAAACTAGTAGCAATAAGTTAGACACGAATTTTGACATTAGAAATGTAGAAGAAATCAGTATTTTATCTACCAGCATCCATTCTTTTGAAAATTTTATCCCCACTATTGTTTGGGGAGATTGAATTCTCCACCAACCACTCTAGCCCACAGGATATCGTTCAAATTCAAGTTTCCATCTTATCACCTCACCTTTCCTACCATAGAATTGGTATATTGTGGAGCTCAAATCCAACTGATTTTACTTTGGGATTTTCTTTTTTTTAATTTAAATTTAATTAGTCAACATATCGTACCTCAGTAGTTTCTGATGTAGTGTTCAATGATTCATCAATTGTGTATAACACCCAGTGTTCATCACCTCATGTGCCCTCCTTAATGCCCATCACCTAGTTACCCAGACCCCCACACACCTCCTCTTCCACAACCCTTAGTTTGTTTCCCAGAGTCAAGCGTCTCTCATGTTTTGTCTTCCTCTCTCATTTCTACCCATTCAGTTTTCCCTCCCTTCCCCTATGATCCTCTGTGCTATTTCTTATATTCCACATATGAGTGAAATCATATGATAATTGTCTTTCTCTTGTTGATTTATTTCACTTAGCATAATACCCTCCAGTTCCAACCATGTCGATGTAAATGGTAGGTATTCATCCTTTCTGATAGCTGAGTAATAGTCCATTGTATATATGAACCACATCTTCTTTATCCATTCATCTGTTGAAGGACATCTTGGCTCCTTCCACAGTTTGGCTATTGTGGACATTGCTGCTGTGAACATTGGGATGCAGATGTCCCTTCTTTTCACTATATCTGTATCTTTAGGGTAAATACCCAGTAGTGCAATTACTGGGTCATAGGGTAGCTCTATTTTTAACTTCTTGAGAAACTCCATACTGTTTTCCAGAGTGGTTGTACCAGCTTGCATTCCCACCAACAGTGTAAGAGGGTTCCCCTTTCTCCACATCCTCGCCGACACTTGTTGTTTCCTGTCTTGTTAATTTTAGCCATTCTAACTGGTGTAAGGTGGTATCTCATTGTGGTTTTGATTTAGATTTCCCCGATGACAGTGATGTGGAGTGTTTTTTCATGTGTCTGTTGGCCATTTGTATGTCTTCTTTGGAAAAATGTCTGTTCATGTCTTCTGCCCATTTCTTGACTGGATTATTTGTTTTTTGGGTATTGAGTTTGATAAATTCTTTACAGATCTTGGATACCAGTCCTTTATCTGATATGTCATTTGCAAATATCTTCTCCCATTTCAAAGTTTGCCTTTTAGTTTTGTTGACTGTTTTCTTTGCTGTGCAGATACTTTTATCTTGAAGTCCCAATAGTTCTTTTTTGCTTTTGTTTCCCTTGCCTTTAGAGACATGTCTTGTAAGAGGCTGTTGCAGCCAAGGATGAAGAGGCTACTGCCTATGTTCCCCTCTAGGATTTTGATGGATTCCTGTCTCACATTTATTTTCTAAAATAAATCTAAGGAAATGATAACTGCAATGGATATTTGTTGAGTATTGTATTATGTACCAAATACCATTCTAAGCATTTTGCACATAACTCAGTTAATTTTTCCAATAACCCCAAGAGGAAGCAACATTATTAGCCATATTTTACAAATGAGGAAACTGATGCACAGAGAACATACAACTTGCTTAGGAATACACAGCTAGTAAGTATAATATTCACACCAAGATTAAAACCCAGACAGTCTAACATCAAAGTCTGTGACCTTTATTATGTTATCTTACCTTTAGGACATCAAAATTGGAAAGAGCACACATGGTTATAGGAAAATTCCAGGGGGAATATTAGCAATGGTTAGTTTTAATTTGTTTAGGAGGCTTATGTTCATTACCAAAGATACAAAAATAATGCCCATAATAATTAAGTCCTTATAATTACAGATATATTCATAAATTGCAGTTCAAATTTTCAAATATTTAAAAGATACAAATTGCACTCCTTTCTTGAAGTCATTTATCATATACATATCATATGAAATTTTTTATTAGAAACTTATCCATAAAAAAGCACCATTTCATTGTACTAGAATTATGATAGAAATTAGTTTCTCAGCTGATTAGAAAAATTGTATCTTACTGCTACAAAAGTAGCATAGGGATCTTCAGTGTTCATTAATGGCAGATCTATGTCTGAATCCAGCCCTCACTAGACTCTAGAATTTTGGGAATGGGCAATCTCACTTGTCTTCAAGGTTCTCCAAAATAGAAACCACTCTAATTTCTAAAGTGCTATTTTGAGAGCGGCCAGAGGCCTACACTTGTTCTGTCAATAAATCAAAAGCCCAGTCTCCTGGTCTATCATAAGTCCTATGTCTTTCCTAGCTACTACATTCACCCTAAATGATAAATCAATAGGCCTACCCTAAAATGTTTCAGCAGCTACAAAAAGTGGTGTATTTGTTGGTGCCAGACTATGTGCTCCTTGCAGGTTCTTGGATACAAATAATAGGGCTCTCACTTTGATATGTGAGGTTAAGAGAGAATACCCTGTAAGTACATATGACACATCAGAGTCTATAAAATAAAGTTGCTTTTTTCCTTGAAATCGGTCCTAAAATTCAAGTTGTGTAGTCAGAGTGCAAAATAGTCTGTGGGTCCTGAATAGCCCAACTCTGGTGCCTCCTTTGATCTTTTTATTCTAAGGCTTATATTATGTGTCTCACCTACCCCTTTCATTGAGGTCAAACTTCTTGACCCTTGGGTGAGCTCCAAAAGTGCAGAGTAAGTCAAGCAATGATTAGGATTGATTATTTTCCCCATGATTACCTTCTATATGGAAGACACCAGGAACTGCTATCCATTGTTGTATTTGAAAGGAATTAAAAACATAAGATAGTTCTAAGAGACATTTCCCCCCTCTAGTTGCCTATCTAAATGTTCAATTTCACAGTGGTTGTACATGGCTGCAATTGTCCTTAGGCATCTAGGTTCTTGAAATAGTGGCTTGTGTCTCTAGAGAAGAATTTTCCCTGTAACTTTAGTTTAAATGTCATATACAAATTGTAATTTCTTGCTAATATAAACAATACAATTTATTTTTAAAGTACATTCTGAATTCAGACTAAAATCAAGAAAAGAGTGTGGGATGTGGTAGAAACAAAAGACAAAGCCTTTGAATATTAGTATTTCAGAGTAGGGTCAGGGACAAGCCAGAAGAGCTAGGAAATTGACCAACTGAATATACTGGTTACATGAGACTTAGTTTTGAAAAAATCTATTCTTGGCCTATCTTATCCAGGTGATTTCTGTAGAACTTTATCTCCTAAATTACTTTAATAGAATTAGCAAATAAGGCAGATCCCTCAAGATACTCATGTCTGTCATCTGTGTTTTAAAGTTTTCCCTCCCAGGTCTAATCAGCAAAGAGCAAGGAGAAAAAAAGTTGTCCTCTTTTCCCCTCAGTTGTCAGTAGCAAAGAAGGAAGAAGAAATGAGGAAGAAAAAGGAACTAAG